TAATAGCATCATTTCTGGTAAGAGTCATTGTTCTAAGAGCTAACAATTCTCCAATGGAGTGGGGAAGCGAGCCAAGGCGCTCACAGTTCCTTATCTCAAGATTCTTCAGTGATTTAAGTCCACCAAAAACATGATCTGGAAGACTAATAATTGGAACCTTTTCTATTTGAAGCTCAACCAAAGAAGACAATCCTTTAATTGAAACAGGCAATGCATTCAAATGCTGACTATTTCCGAGCGATAAGGACCTAAGATAATACAGAGACCCAATAGATTCTGGCATCATTTTTATTGCACTGCCATAAAGCCAGAGATTTACTAAAGATTTGAGGTTGCCAACACAACTGGGAATAGCAGAAAGTGACTCACACCTAATTAAGTTTAATGTATGAAGGTTCTGCAAATGTTCAATAGAATCAGGTATTTCTTCCACAGCAGAACCATTAAGAGAGAGTTCCTTCAAAGCACTTAGCTTTCCTATGAACCGGGGAAGTTGTTTCAATGAGTGGCACTGGATTAAGCTTAACTTCTCAAGTTTTGTTAAGCGGAAGATACTTTCAGGCAACTTCTCAATAGCAGTTCCATCTAATAGAAGTTCTTGTAAAGACTTCATCTTACCTATATCTTCAGGTAGCTGTTTCAATCTCGAGCAACCCGAGAGTATCAGCTTTTCAAGATTCTTCAGCCCGGAGACCTCACCTGGAAATTCAACAAGGTTGCGGCAATCTCTTAGATTTAAATGACGTAATGTATTCAGATTCCCAATTGTTCTGTGAATCCTTTGCAATGCACTGCAACGCTCAGCTATCAACTTCTCCAATGCTTTATGCGTGGATAAATCAGGAATAACTGTTATTTTATGACAATCAGAGAGATTCATAACTATCAACTTGTTCGCCACCTGCAAATTTTAGAAAAAACATGCCTAAAGAATCTATATTTGAGATTTAAAAAATGAGAGCATATCAGGACTTTCATCAACTACAGGATGCAATTCAAGGAAATCAAATTGTATATAACTAAAGTTTTATAGTTATGCATTCACTTTAGGAGCTCTGTAATATACAATGCTGCTTAGTTTCTGATAATAATAAATGATCATAGATGACAAGAGATATTTTAGCTTCTTTGTTTCCGGAGTATCACCCTCCATAAGCAAGTACCTGACATTAATTTATTATATAATATAAAATATATAAAAGCTTAATAGTTGAAAAATACAAACAGTATTTCATCAGCATGACACATAACGCATACCTTTTTGCAATTCCACGTCCATTCCCGGCTTCCAACCCTCTCTATTTGGCTCTCTGAGAGATCAAGTATGGTAAGTTCACTTGGATAATCATTAGAATAAAAACTTGAAAGAGTGCATCTTTTCCAGTGGAGCCATTTTAGTGAAGAAGGTAACTTCCCCAAATTTCCCTCTAGTTTCACATTATCGAATTGGAGTAGTCGCAGATTAACTATTGGATCAAATACTTCACTGTTCAATACCAACTCATTAGTTTCTTTTGCATCATTTTGAAATTGTTCTTTGCACAACTCTTTAATGTAAGCTAATGCAGAAGTAAAAGTGGGAACTTGTTGAAAATGCTCTCTAGTAATTGCTTTTGCGCTTTTAATCTTTGATGATGAATTCTGATACAGATCCAGGATGATCCCTTGGATGTTCTGTGTCCCCTGTTGTTTTCATGACAAATTATTTTTGTTTAGTATAAAATGTAAGTTTAGCAGAAAACAAAAACACAAGAAAAAAGCTGGGAGTCTTTGTTGTGTATTAAGAAAGAAAACCAAAAAAAAAAAAGATGCCTGCAAGTGTTTAAGACTTAACATTAGTGCTGGGAGTGCAAATTAAATGCTTTTAATCCTGATTTACAGATTTTCTCATTTTAAGCTAGTGATTTGTCTTACAACTTGAAATAGCTGAAGGGTCTTCTTTACTAATCTCTTACCTCCAAAATCCGCTACAAGTTATGAGACCATGGTCTAGAAGTAGACAGGATGCTAAATCTAGTATACAACAACAACCTACCCTAGGGATGCAGATCTTACCCCTACCATGGGGTAGAGAGGTTGTTTCCGAAAGACCCTCGGCATCCCTCCCTCCAAAAACTCTCCACCTTGCTCTTGGGGTGACTCGAACTCACAACCTCTTGGTTGGAAGTGGAGGGTGCTTTCCACTAGAGCAACCCACTAGATTTAGCGTATATAGTATACGCTAAATCTAGTATACTATATAATAAAACCATTTAACTTCGTTACACTATCGGTCACCTAAAGTAACTATAACTACCTGTTCGTAAAGAGTTGGATTAGTAATGTGAAAAACAATGCAGGTTACCTCTTACAACATGCAAAATGTACTGATAATATAAAAGAACGTTTTCACGTATAAGTTAAATCGTAAAGAAGACATACCTTCCTTCCTTGTAACACACTCAAAACATCAGCAACATCCCAAAGTCTGCTGCGATTTCCGGGATCTGAAATGCCTTGTTGTATAACAATTTGTCTTCCCATATCTCTTATCTGGTCATGCATCCACAAATCCCCACCATCAATTACCTTAATCAATGATCTAGCAGTTAAAGTGTCAAATGCAACCCTGGCTCTGAAACCACATCCTTTCATCACATCAATTATATCTTCAGCTTTCTTTTCTAATTGATCAAGAAATAAACATGCAACATCCAGGAATATACACTTCTCTTCGTCATCAAGACCATCATAACTTATTTTCAAGATGTCCTGAAGACGCGGTGAGCGAATTTGTTTTAGCTTTTCTAGAGCATCTATCCATTCCTCCTCGCTTCTTTTATCAAACAAGAAAGACCCAAAAACTTCAAGAGCCAACGGTAGCCCTCCAGTAATTGAGACAATTTGCTTGGAAATATTCACAAAAGCTGGAAATGGCTCATGTCTTCTAAATGCATGATAACTGAGTAGTTTTAGTGAGTCAGTATCACCCAATTCTCTCACCTCAATTGTCTCGTTAACGATGTCATTTAGCAAAATTCCTCTGTTTCTAGTACTAATAACAACCCTGCTCCCTTCAAAGAACCAGTTTTTCCCTCCAATTAGTGCCTTCAGTATGTTAACATCATCATTTACATAATCTACATCATCTAAGACAAGCAGGACGCGCTTTTCTTGAAGAAATCGTCCGAATTTTACTCTTCCTTCATGTGCATTACTGGGGGAGAAGGAGAAGACCTTGCTCGGGAAAAGACCTTGTATTATTTTCTTCTGAAGGGACACAATGCCTTGTTGAGCAGCTATTTCCTTAACATTCAAGATAAAAGTCCTGTGTGTGAAATGAGAAGCAAGTTTATTATAAACAGCCTTAGAAAGAGTTGTTTTACCAACCCCTCCGATTCCATGCAACCCAATAATCTTGACACCATTGTGCTTCACATCTAACTGTCTTATGAGTTCTTCCAGGCGGTAGTCAATTCCAACAACAAATGGAGCTACAAATATTGGGGAATTGCTCAATTCTTGTAAAACTCTTTTCACCAAATTCTGTATCAACTGTGACTCTTCACTGCAGATTGCAAGCAAACATCAGTATTGTTAATTTGGAAGGTCTTACTTTTCCTACTAAACTTTTATGAGTTTAACTTCTATACACCGAGAACTTTCATACAATTTGATCACTAAAAAACATGTATTATTGGGATTAGGCTATGGAGGTCGAGGATTAGGGTAGAAGGTTATTACTTAGTCGAAGAGAGATGTCTCACTTTCCTGTGGGAGAGTCGTGGTGACAGTTTGGAGCACCTTATATGTTCCTCCTTCAGTACTATTAGTATTATTCTCGTATTATCCTATTCATATTACCTATTGTTTCATTTGTATCTGCTTATTATTTTGTTGTCGTTACTGTTTCTTTTCTCCAATATTTCCAACATGGCCTCTTCACTACTTTTTTTTCTCAAACTTGATTTTCTTTTTTCTTTTTAAGCCGTAATCGGAAAAAGCTTCTCTACATCACATAAGGTAGGGGTAAGGTGTGCGTACACACTACCCTCTCTAGTTCCTACTTATTACACTGGGTATTTTATTGTTGTTATATTGTGATTCATAAATGATAACCTGGAAAATAACGAAGGTTTCTTGCTATGAAAGATTAAATACACTAATTGTGTAAGAATTCTTGTACTTAAATTCTTTCCTAAAACCTTATAAAAGATAATTAAGAAGTAAACGAAGATGATACGGGTAATGTGAATATAGTTCAGATAGTTGTTCTTTTTTCTTTTTCCCAGGTATAATCTTTTACTTTCTTAAGAGAATCTCATTAACCAAAAAAAAAGGATGATTTCAAGTTTTCAACAAATATTTACAAGATATGTGTGTGTATGGGTGTATGGCTCAACCCTAATCATTTCCCAAATTTTTTTATATTTGTAGTGTACTGGCCAGCTTGTGCGCACCTCGACTAATTCCACGTGATACCTGCCACTTTCCACCAGCAACGGCTACCAGATAACTCTGTCCACTACGGTCTAAACACATGTAAAGAAATCACCTAATGTTTTTGGCTCCGCTGGAATTTGAACCTCATTACCCAAATTAGCTTCAAGTGAGACTTGTGAAGTTCTTCCTCATATTATTATTTATATTTCAATTATTTAATCTTTTGCTTTATGGTACGTAATTACTGTTTAAGGTAAATGATAGTGAGCAGTTAATTAAAAGAACACCTTTATAATTATTAGAAAGAAATTTGAAATTCAGAATCATCACGATTAGGCTGTTGGCTTTTTGTACGCATGAACAAAAGAAAAGGCAATTATTTCTTCTATAGTAGGTAATTCTTCCATATTGTTGATGTAGTCTTGATTTTCTTTGGCATGGTCATACAACGGTATCCTTGGACCATAAGGACTGTTAATAAAGTCAACACTACTGAATAATGAAGTTGAATTAACCACCTTATTTGATTAAAAATAAATACTAATAAAAATACCAATTAAAAGCAAAAGTAAGCAATTGAAGGTTATAACTGATAAGCTCTAATATATACAGGCAACTGCGCCTGTTTATATAAAAATTAAATAATCAAACCCATCTGGGACCACAACAAATTTAAAATTAAGCAAACGTATTTTATTGAGTTAATATTCTGGTTACACAATATAATATTTGTAAAGTAGGCCAAGTTAAATATTGTTGCGTGCATGGGACACTGCAGTTCCAACCTCCAAGTCAGTCGGATCTATAGTCGAATTTACGAGTTAGTTATACAGATACTGTTAGAGATTGTGATGTAGGGATTATTTACTTTAAGAATTATTTTGTCATTTGTTACTCTTATATGTATTACTAATATTTCCTCCGTCCAAGTTTACTTTTTTACTATATATAATACTAGAATAGATGTCTACTTTTACTTGTTCAGTTTGGAGAATTAATGGATAATTTATCATTTGATATCTAGGGATGGCAATGGGGCGGTACGAGTGCGGGGCGGGGCGGATTTTAGCATACGCGAGACGGTGCGGGTTTAGACATATGTGGGTGCGGGGCGGGGCGGGACGGGTCAAATTGAGTTTTATAAAATTTTGTGCGGGTGCGGGTTTTAACTTTTTGCAAAATTATAACATTTCAACTTTCACTAATATTATTAGAACGAGAAATATTTACTTTTTCCGTTTTGAACTTGCTATTCCTTTCTCCTATGCATTGATTATTTTAGTCTCAATCTAATTTGGTTTTTACGAGGAATACATTTCATAATGAACATTTATTTTGTTGAATGTAAATATATATGTTTCGGTTGTTTGCATCTCTGGGAAGAAAATATTATATTATATCTTTTTTAGTGTTTTAAAGTCCCATTTTAGCTATATAGTTATTTAATTTGAGTCAAGTAGATAATTAGTTGACACATTTTTATGTATCTAATCTCATTTCTTTGTATATCTGAATAATTAGAAATGACATATCGATATTTCAAATTAAATTTCAATATTGATGCATGTAAAATAAAAAAAAAGTATATTAAAAAAAAATTAGAACCGAAGACCGTTAAAAGTTAACTGACAACATTCGGTAGGATTTGTAGTTATTTGCTAGTTATGGCTATTCAAAATTGGACTTCCTGGTTTGGACTTGGATTCCAATGAGAACTTTAGATTGACAATATCTATATGAATATAATTTAAAATAAGATTAAAATATGACAAATTGAAAGAAATAATAAAGGAAAATTTTTGCTGGGCGGGGCGAGTGGACGCTGGTATTGATGTGGGGCGGGTGGATGCGGGTAAAAATGCTAGTGGGGCGGGGCGGGTTGAAATTTTGTGGGTTAAGGTAAAACCCGCCCCACACTCGCCCCGCACCGCTCCATTGCCATCCCTATAATTATACCCCTTTTTACCTCTTTTATTAAGTACTGGAGTACTTATTTTCAATTTATTTTCCAACATATAGTAAATAGGGGTAATATAGTAAAATTATCATATTATTTATTATTTATTAATGTGTATGTTAAATCAATAGTGGACAAGTAAACATGAAAGAAGAGAGTACATATTTCGACAGAACTTCTACGAGTAAGTCAGTGGTGGATCTATATGGAGTGCATGGATTCACATGAACCTATATTCCCTTTCCTAGATCAAATGTTATATTTTTAGGAAAATGTATAAGTACCCCCTGACCTATAACCGGATTTCTAACTATACATTTTATCTTATCGGGGACCTTATTATCCCCCTAAATTATTTTTAAATGAAATTACTATATCCTTTGTGCTAATATGGCAGAAGAGAAGAGAGTGTATGACACTCTCCTTGGGAGAGGGAGAAAAAGAGAGAATGCTGAAATTTTGTTTTTATAATATTTTTATAAAATATAGGAGTACTATTTTCTATTTTTTCTTTTCTCTGGTTTTTCTTTTTATTTTCCTTTTCTTTCTTCCAGTTTTGTTACTTATAAATTGGCCAATTAGCTCCGGCATTCTCCATATTTTTCGGCAAGATCGAGTTGAAGATGTTATTCTTTCCTCTTCATATTTCACTACATTTTATAGAGGATTACTGTTATTTCTAATCTCTTCACTCAACACTTTTAAACTTTCAATTGCAATTGTTCTCATGGAAAGGAATGAAAAAGTCTCGTTCCAATATCAATTTTCGATTAAACCCGAAAGAAGCTCAGAAAAGACTGAACAAGAAAAAGGGTTTTGATTATTATTTGCAAAAAATATTCTCGCCATGTTTGCCGTTTCTCGATTGGGGCCTTCGGCCTTTCACTACTTTAGGTAGTGACGTGGGTGAGGGGAGTCCTATTTTTTTAATTAATCAAATTTACATAAAAGAGAGAACGAAAAATGCATAACTACCCCCTGACCTATAGCCGAATTTCCAACTACACACCTTATCTTTGCGAGAGTCCTATTAACCC